TACACAGAACCAGTGTAATCACTTTGGAACACAAGCATATGGGGTATTTTTGAAGGGGAATTTTTCTGGTGCATGTGTGTTTAATTACAGTGATTGATTTACCTGCAGTAAATGTTTGCTTGATGCACTGCTTTATAAGCCACATAATGATTAGCATAATTTAGTTTGACCTCTGAAACAGGCAAGATATTAAACACATTTTGGGATAATGCTCATTTTATTTTAACTGAACCTGGGGACCTTTGGCTCCCCTACTACATGTATGAAGAGTTCCTATTTAATAGTTATTCAAATAGACTTCCTCGCTTCTATATAACATGTAAAAGCAACATAGAGGAAAATCTTTGAATCATTATACATTTTTTAACAGCTATATTTTGACAGTCGTGTTTGGGAAAACCTGTCATGATACAATTATGAGAGGTGCCACTGGTGGCATATTTATCAGTTCCCAGTTTACTGCTTGTCATGCTTCACTGCTTAGTAAGCCATGGAGCCTGCATGTTTGCTTCAGTTCAGTGCCTCACATTGTAGTAAAACAGATTAGAGCATGATAGCAAATGATAAATGTCAGCTGTGTCAGCTCCCATATTTCTGTAATGACAGGTTCAACCTAATAATGAACTTCTGGGAGTCTCTGAACTTTAACAAGCATCAAATAGACGAATACCCCTGCCCTCCCACTACACTTGTTCAGCATACTGTACATACATGTGCATTCATGCCATTTTAGTCCTTCTCCTCTGCCACATAATCTCCAATGCCTGGTCCTTGGAGGGGAGAAGAACAACCTAAGGGTAGGGAGTTGTCCATGGTTAACTGCTGCTCACAGATTCTTTGCACCAAGGTGCAGTCCATTGTCGGGAGGTGGGGTTCAAGATGAATGGGAAAGCGGACCAGGGCTGAACCTTAGTCTGAGTGAATATGAGTAGGTACAGGAGAATTTTAGACATTTACTGCGGGAGGGCACCAGAAGGTGGGTAGTGTATCTATAATAGTAGTAAAAAGATGCTTTAGGGCATCTGACCTGGAATTTAGATTTTATGTATTTTCTTTTTAGCTTTGGTTTTTTTGAATATTTGTTTCTAAATAGACCCACAAACTCCCCATTTAATCTGTTGCTTAAACTGTACTTTAGAGATTTGTTAATCTGATCTACCCACTCTTACATAGGAGGGCTCCCTCCTCTTTAGAAGGTAAGGACCTGAAAGTGAACCTCCTTCCTGCCCAAAGCATTGGAATAACATTTTTGTTCATCTTTACTGCAGCAATCTGTTCCGATTTTTTTTGTCTGCACTGTCTCTCTGAGCCCTGGTTCACACTGATGAAGGAATTTGCAGCGTTTTCAGTGCAAATTCCGCACCGCATCAGAATTGCACCCCGTTCATGTGAACCGCTTGTTAAGTTAACAACACCTCGAAAGCGGTCCGTAAAACGCGGTGCGATGTGCGGAATTAGATTGCACTAGAATTGGACCGCATGGGTATTCACATCTATGCGGACTCAAAAAAGGGTCCTGCACCTTTTTGGTGCAGTGCGATTAGAGCCATACAAAATGTATGGCTTCAATCGCACCACACACAAATCCTGTGATTTGCACAGGAATGTGGTGCGGTTCCTGTGCTTATTACATGCGATATACCGCACCGCATATATGTGAACCCGGGCTTAATGACAAGATTTACAAAATAAATCATTAAACATAAACAGGGTTAGGGCAATGATTTCTTAAATATGTGTTTTTTTTTTTCCAAAATACACCAAGGTGTTAAGGAGTCTTTTTTTTTTCAGTAATACACTAATATACAACAAAATCAGAAGTTGCTTTGGATTTGTTAAAGGATAAGTTCACCTTCTGGAGCATGTTACACCCATATTTAGGGTGTAACATGTACAGTGGGGATCGAAAGTTTGGGCACCCCAGCTAAAAATTTGTATTAATGTGCATAAAGAAGCCAAGGAAAGATGGAAAAATCTCCAAAAGGCATCAAATTACAGATTAGACATTCTTATAATATGTCAACAAAAGTTAGATTTTATTTCCATCATTTACACTTTCAAAATAACAGAAAACAAAAAAAATGGCATCTGCAAAAGTTTGGGCACCCTGCAGAATTTATAGCATGCACTGCCCCCTTTGCAAAGCTGAGACCTGCCAGTGTCATGGATTGTTCTCAGTCATCGTCTGGGAAGACCAGGTGATGTCAAGCTCAAAGGTTTTAAATGCCCAGACTCATCTGACCTTGCCCCAACAATCAGCACCATGGGTTCTTCTAAGCAGTTGTCTAGAAAACTGAAACTGAAAATAGTTGACGCTCACAAAGCTGGAGAAGGCTATAAGAAGATAGCAAAGCGTTTTCAGATGTCAATATCCTCTGTTCGGAATGTAATTAAGAAATGGCAGTCATCAGGAACAGTGGAAGTTAAAGCAAGATCTGGAAGACCAAGAAAAATATCAGACAAAACAGCTCGCAGGATTGTGAGAAAAACAATTCAAAACCCACGTTTGACTGCACAATCCCTCCAGAAAGATCTGGCAGACACTGGAGTTGTGGTACACTATTCCACTATAAAGAGATACTTGTACAAATATGGTCTTCATGGAAGAGTCATCAGAAGGAAACCTCTTCTACGTCCTCACCACAAAAATCATCGTTTGAACTTTGCAAATGAACATATAGACAAGCCTGATGCATTTTGGAAACAAGTTCTGTGGACCGATGAGGTTAAAATTGAACTTTTTGGCCGGAATGAGCAAAGGTACGTTTGGAGAAGAAGGGGCACAGAATTTAATGAAAAGAACCTCTGTCCAACTGTTAAGCATGGGGTTGGATCAATCATGCTTTGGGGTTGTGTTGCAGCCAGTGGCACAGGGAACATCTCACGAGTAGAAGGAAAAATGGATTCAATGAAATTTCAGCAAATTTTGGATGGTAACTTGATGCCATCTGTAAAAAAGCTGAAGTTAAAGAGAGGATGGCTTCTACAAATGGATAATGATCCTAAACACACCTCGAAATCCATGGGGGATTACATCAAGAGGCATAAATTGAAGGTTTTGTCATGGCCTTCACAATCTCCTGACCACAACATAATTGAGAATCTATGGATAGACCTTAAAAGAGCAGCGCGTGACAGACAGCCCAGAAATCTCAAAGAACTGGAAGACTTTTGTAAGGAAGAATGGGCAAAGATACCTCAAACAAGAATTGAAAGACTCTTGGCTGGCTACAAAAAGCGTTTACAAGCTGTGATACTTGCCAAAGGGGGCAGTACAAGATATTAACTCTGCAGGGTGCCCAAACTTTTGCAGATGCCATTTTTTTGTTTTCTGTTATTTTGAAAGTGTAAATGATGGAAATAAAATGTAACTTTTGTTGACATATTATAAGAATGTCTAATCTGTAATTTGATGCCTTTTAGAGATTTTTTCCATCTTTCCTTGGCTTCTTTATGCACATTAATACAATTTTTTAGCTGGGGTGCCCAAACTTTTGATCCCCACTGTAACACTCTCCAGGCTCACCCCCGATCCTCGACATTATACCTTCTGATCATGGGTGCGATACTTTGCAGGCCTCTGTTAAAAAATATATATATATATATTATATATATACCAGTGTGTGTGTGTGTGTGTGTGTGTGTGTATGTGTATATATATATATATATATATATATATACCGGTATATATGAAAATACATTTTTTTTTTATCCTGCAAACAAATGTGCATTTAGTATTTTTTTTAGTTAAGGTTGAACTTAGCCTTTAAAAAAGACATCTTATGTGTGATGATACAGCTTTATGAATTTGAATTTGGTTAGATGGTACATGCTGGATTATTGCCAAGTAGTTTGAACACAAGCTAACATTTTTCTTTTATCTTTACATCTGGATGCCTGATGTTCCAATCTACAAACTTCAAAGATTTTATGAAACTGCAGTGCATAATCCTAGAAAGAAAGCATGAAAAATGACTTTTGCTTCTTGATTTGCGGTGCTTTTAATTGAATAATCGTAATTGCCTTAGTCTTCTGTGCTGAAAGGCATGGTGTTTACTGTATGCAGAGCTTTTTTCTAAAAACTTAGGTGCAGGCACCTACAACCCCCCCCCCCCCCTCGTCACACTTTGCCCAATAAGTAAACACCTTTTATTCACAAATACAAGATGTTCTATGAATGGTGGAAGTGCTGCATGAGCTTGCCCTGTGGTCAGTGTGCGGTGAGGAAGCCACTCACACAGAACCTGGAAGATCATGGCTCTCACTGTATGTAGCTCAGATTACTACTGTGATTTATAGTATCCCTAGTGGCCCTACAGATACCAGCCATGTGTACTTTTATCAAGTAAAGCTGGCTCTATGTAAGTATGTAAAAGAATAGGATAAGTGAGGTGCAGACAGTTTTCATAGGAGCAGGGGGCCTAATTTTTGCCACAGCAAGTGTGCACTGCCTGCTGCCTTTGCAGTTTAAGGGGGAGCAGTTAGGGGGCAGTAAAAATGTGGCCTGTGCATTTGTTTTTACCACCCCAAACTGTAAGGTTACATAATCCCTAAGTTAGGAATATAGTTTTAATTTAAATTTCTTTACAGTAGCAACAGGGGGATTAAGACTTCTCTTGCCAAACTCAGAGGGTTGAGGTTTTATGGCAGGACTGGTAGACTTCCAACCAAGATCTAGCCAGGTCATTCAGTAGAAAGATCCTACTATTACAATTATGTGCCACAAGAAACAATTACATAAAGGAAACCCACCATAAACTAGCCAGCTATCCGAGTTTGGTGGAGTATCTGTGTTTATGATGTGTCTCATACCTGCTTGAAGCAAGCACAGATTGTAGCCCTAAATTCATCTATACAGTAGATTTTGAGGCATTTGGCCTACACTGATACACAAACCATTTGAGATCATCTAGGAAGTGTTGCACGTGGCATCTTCATCTTCTTTTTCAATGTTGATTGTGTTTAAAAGCTGTAACTTAAGTTTATTTTTCTTCTCGCAGGTTCTTAGTACAGTTCAAGCAGGACAAAGTCTGTGTGAAATTCATCCAAGGAACTCAAAAGAATGGCAATGTTCCCACTTGCAAAAGGAAAAACAATCGCCTTCTTGAGGTGGCTGTACCCTAACAGCGCTGTTTTTAATGTATGGACATGTTCAATTTTAACTGCATAGTTTTAGAGATTTTGGGGGAAGTGGGGGGTCAACTTTTTAATATTTTGAATTGTGCCAAAGGCATATGGTAATGTCCTGGATCCAACAATGTACGCTTTTACATAAAAAACAGCTGCATAAAAAGTTATCTCCTACAATTTATTTGCAACAAATATTTATGTCCCCAATGGCTGCTCATCAAATTCTATCAGAGCACAAAAGGAGTTTGACCCACAGCATCCTATACAATCCAGTTAAATTTCCACAAGTATCCAGAGTTTAAACTACACATTTCGTTAGTCCTTGAATTTGTGTTCTTGGGTTCTAAGAAATCTTACAGTTTATGTTCCAGATATAGTTACAGCCATAGCTCAGAGTGACTGAGAAAAGAAAGAATCAAAGTCTGCCCAGTGGAGTGTTATAACTTTCCTTCACACACACTACACTTGTAAAAATCTTTGAACTGCTTCTAAATGTGTGCAGACTGCAGTTACTACTTCACATATAAAAGAGAGATACTGTTTAATAATAAAAAAGTGCCATTACCTGAAGATTGAATCGTTGATTATATGGAATCTCTTCTATTTTGTACAGTAGGTCTTCCCTGGTAGGATGTTTTTTTTTTTCATGATTAATGCCTGCCATGTCATAATGTGACTGTTCCAGCTAATTTGTGGCATATTTTTTTTTTTACAAGCATCGTGCCAAGTTATGGACACACTGGTTTTATATCCGCTATGAGTATTATGTGCATCTAATCACAAAGTAGTCCCTTCTATATCTTAAAATTACAGCAAAAGTAATTTAAAGAGCTGTCATGGAGAATTAAATGGGCTGCATGTGCGGATCTACATCTAAAAGTACTCATCATGCTAATCCTCTGGCTTCAGTGCAGTCACTTTTAATCCATTTAGTGCTTGCTTGTTCTGTGACTTAAAACGCTTCAAAGCAGTACACAGCCAGACAACTAAACCTTTTGAGAAGGGGATCTCAATGGTAGCCTGTTTTTCTCTCCTGACAATTTTCCCTTTAATATTATACTCATGACCACAGTTTTATGCTTTAATGAAGACCTTCCAGAATTCTAAACCTGTCTCCTGTTTTAGCTTGCTGCTTTCCTCATAATACTGCATAGAGCTTGGCTTATAGTTGCAGGCATTCCCAGCAGTAATCTTGGGCTTATTTAATGCGTATTTCAACTTTGCTGCAAGATCTTGTCAAGGCTGTTGTACTTCTAAAGGAATGCTGGAACAATTTTTTCTCTTTATTGCATATACAAGGAATACATAATATGCCATCATATAATGTAAAGGGGAAATACTTGTGTCAATGATACAAAAAGAAAAGCAGGCACGTAGCAGGTAACAAATATTGCACTGACAGCAGACTGGGAGAATTCTTTTTTTTTTTTTTTTTTTTTAATTATTATAATGCTCAGACTGATTGTGTGATTATTTTAAAGTGAGCTCTCCCACTTAGCAGTCACTTTATACATGTGCATTGGAGAAACATATAAACATATATATAAAGCAGAAGTTAGCAAGAGATAATCCATAAGGAAGTGTTTTACATTTCACATGTGCTGACAAACAATATGCTGACGGGAGAAGTGAGGTCACTTTATCAGTCTTCTGCTGATCACTGCTTGTGCAGTTACAGGCTGGTGGCAGAGTGTCTCTACAGCCTCATTGCAGTATATTGGCAGTGTGAGATCCAGTGCTGCTTCTGACTGCTAGTCTCAGGAGATTTGGTGATGTTAGTACTGTGCTGCTTACTGTTCTTCTTGCTGGAGGCTCTGATATCAGGAAGCAAAAACCTGCTTCTACCAAGATGTCCACTTCAATACAGAGACATAGTGCAGAACAAGGCATGGTAAGTCAGTAATGGGGAAAGATCAGTTTCAGGGAGACCACAGGGAAAACTGGTGCCTACCTTTTTTGGGTACAGCTTCCAGAGCTTAGTTCCTCCTTAAGCTGTATGTACAAGGTTGTTTTTCTGTTCTTACCCTCGGGATTGAACTAATATGTATTACCCTTCAACGCAGTTTACTACTATTCAATTTATGAAACAAAAACTGGCTGTTGTGTCCTGTACATGCAGGCTTCCTATGCGAGTGCTCAGTCTGTGTGTTTTTTTGCCAAATGCTGTTCACACAAAGATCAATAACCCTATTGTTTATATTCTGATTCAGTTGATAAGGATTCTGTAAGAGACATCAGAAAGAACAACCCTTCAGCCAGAGTGAATAGTGCAAGACAAATGGCAGACTCAAGATGGAACTCCAGCCAATTTAAAAAGTGTAGAACCTCTTTAGTAGTGGAAACCTTTACAGCAAATCCTGGTTATTTTATATTGCCATGCAATAAAACCTGCATACAAACTGCCACTGTTACCATACACTAAACTGCCAATCCAGAAATGGTAGCTTTTGTGCTGTAGTAGCACAAATCAATTAATTTTCTTCGCTCCCCTGAAGGTAATGCTTTTCATATTCTTAAAGTGGATTTCCAGCTTCATCCTAACTATTCTTAAAACTGTCCCCTCCCCCTCCCAACACCAATGCTAACCAACCCGATTAAGATGAATGCCTATTTTTAGCCTGCTCCGGTCAGGTCACGTGATCCCGCTCCCCTGTGTCAGCCAGCACTGCTACTGTGGAGAGGAGAGAGTCAACAACAAATGGACCATTGAAGCCTATGAGTAACGTCACCACTCCAGGCATAGCCAGCCATTGTCAGGGCATTCTCTTCTTCTCCCCTTCAGTCACCCCTGGCTGACACGGGAGATCACATCATTGGATCGGAGCTCAAAATAGGTAGGTGCATGCATCTTTCTTTCATATACAGTATTAGTTACCATCAGTGTTGGGAGGGGGATGGGAAAGTTTTAAGGCTAGTTAGGATGAAGTTGGAATTCCACTTTACCTATACTTGCTTTTTTGTATACAATCAAAACCATCTATAACAGTTACTGCCATAGTTATCATGTTTCCTATTAGAGTTTAGCTGCCTTTTACAACATAAGTGCGACTAAAAATAAAAAACACAAGAAATCAGAACAAAAGACATAACTTACAGTCAGAGGGGCATGCCCCTTGTGCTCTTCTGTTAGCTAAAATCTTCTCCTATCCATGTCCCCACCCCCACCCCCCACCTCCATCACTGTAATTTTCCAGCACATTGGGGTTAATAGAACTAATGGGCTATCATAGGCTGTTATCAATAGTGCCCAACTATGTCCACCCTTTATTCCCAGCTACTTCATTGATAGAAGCCGTACTACGTTTAGTATGTATGAGACCTATATTACATATATACTGTACATATGAAACACATGTATTTATAAAACAGGATCTATAAATGGAGGAGGCAGATATTTCAATCATCAGCCAGTTCTCCATTCATGGATCCTGTTTCATTCATAGAAGCTATAGTATGACTTCTATGAATGAAGAAACCGGGAAGGGGAGAATTATGTGTAGTGTTATATAAGGTTAAAACATCTGTCAAGTGAGGTTGGCCACTGAGGAGCAAATTAACTTACCTGTGTCCATAACAGGAACAAATACAACAATATAAATATAGTTTTTTTTACCATTGGAAGTTGGGATTTTCCCACCTGACCTGACCTGAGACACAGACAATAGTATAATGTTGACAGAATTTCTATCCCTTCCTCCCTCTACTAGAACTAAAAAACTCTGGCTGGAGTTTAGGAGATATTCTTGGAAAATCATCACAATGGATTCAATTCACAATGCTAATGCACCGAAATAAAGGCTGTTTTATTTTTTTAGCCGAATCCAATGAAGATTACAGTCATATGTCTGAAAATGAAGATCCCTAACTCAACTCCCCCAGAGCTGCCCCCCTCCCCCTACCCTAAAGGTTCCACAATGTACCCTATTCTATGGGTTTTTATTCTGTTTGTTTTTAACTTTTCCAAAGTCTTCAGGCCAGTCATGTGCCACCGCAGATTTCTCTTCACCTCTTCTCCAGGCTGAGCAGTCCTTATTGATGTAGAGAGGGCTGCTGACATGATGATGTTAGCGCTGTACATCACAGCTCCAAATTGAAGGTGAGTATTGTAGCCTGTGCTGCTTTTTTTTTTTTTTTTTTTTTTTAAATCCAAAGGTGTTTTTATTAGTTTTTAAATGGGCATAAAATAACAATGCTGACAAATACTCACACCTATGATGTACATATTAATTTAAAGGAATATATGAAACAAGGAATAGATAAGGCAATATAATAGCATATATAGAAGACTGTATTACATAGACAGTTGGTAAGTTATCAAATTGCTGAAGACAAATGAAATGAGACCCCTAATCACTGACTATTAACAAGAATAAGTGCAAAATAATATAGCAATGCCCATATAATTAGAGTATAATCAGTTGAGAACTGAGCGGTGTATTTTAAGATAGGACAATTTTGATAAATGCAAATTTAGCCTGGAGTTAGGCTATAAAGCTTTGTGAATTTCAACTAAAATATTATAATGTGGCTCATGAGCTGAAAGCAATTTACAGCCTCTGATCTAACCTATTGTTTCCAGTTTAAGTTCTTGGGGCATGTTTGTTAATCTGCTCGCAGAATGACAGTTCAAGTAAGTAGGGCGATTCTTTAAACAACCGTAAATGAGCAGTTCTGAGCTATTCTCTAGTCGTATGGTCTACATGCATTGTTATTGTTAATGGACTTGAAAGGCATTACTATAGTACATTGCAAACTGTAATGAATCAAAATTATGAACAATAAACTATTAAATGACAGGTTGTAATAGATTAAATTGAACATTTTACACATCGTTACAGATACAGTGTGACCTCCTCAGTAATTCATGTGAAAATATAAGCCATCCTCAGTGATTCTCGTGACACAATTGTACTTGTTAGCGTGATGCATAAACATATGACATACATTTTTGTAATGCTTATTAATTGTTTATTAAACAGAAGTTCAACATTTAC